ATGTACTATGATAAAATGCCTGTTTGAAGCGGTATTTTCTATTGTACAAAAATGTTTTGTTGCATTTGTGTTAGAATGTCGCTTTATCAGGCTCTTTCATAGAAAATATATGGGAAATAAACAAATAAAGGCCTAAACCTCAATTTCGAATAAAATGTTTGCTTTGGGTAAACACTTTGATTCCACTTTCATCGGTGATTTCCACTTCCACACAAGTTAAACTTTCTGAATAACAAGATTTTAGCCTTGTACAAAAGCCTTGATTCAAGTCAAGCCACCTGACTAACAGATCAGTCAGGTTATAAGAGTAAAGAGTTAAAAGAGAGTGGTAGTTTAATCTAATCTATGGGCTGTCAGAGTAGGAATATCACAGATTGCGTAAATATAGCTTTTCATAAGAACAACTGATGACACGCCTTGCGAATATCCGCAAACCTTATCAAATAAATAACTGGGTTTATACTGGAATTAAGACACATCAGAGTAATCGATGAAAAAAATATATTGATAAATGGTTCTTTTTTAAAGAACGTTATAACCGCAACTGTACAAGTCAATGGTACATAGCAGATAAGAAGACACGCTAGTACCACAAGCATCGTCTTTAAAGTTTTCTTGTATCTGACAACATCAAAGTTACCGGCCAAAGGGTTTGGTTGTTGGATGTGAACTTGGACTGTGTAAAGATGAAGAGCTTTGAAAGACTTGATGTAGCAGTAAAAGATCACTAACAAGAGGACTGAGGCTAAAATGTCTCCCACTATTATTAAAAAACCCACAGAATTTTCTACAAATGTTAAAGATGCTAACAACACAGCAAAGATCCATAGGCCAACGATCGATGAGCGGACTCGTTTCTTGGTGACAATGATAGTGTATCGATGTCTTAGAGTAAGCGCCAAGTATCTGTCTATACTGATACATGTGACCATCACCAGAGAAACAAAACCAAAACAAGACGAAAGGAAAATGTGCAGTATAGCCAATCTACAGATTCCCTTGTAATTTTTCTGCAAGTAGTAGGTGCCCCAAATTATCTGGAATGGATGAAATACTAAACCAACCAGGAGATCTGTGAAGGCTAAACTTGTTATCAGTAAGTAGGACGGCGTTTGTAGGTTCTGGGATCTCAAGATGGCCACGATAATCATTGTATTTCCAAAAGTTGCAGAAATACTAAGAATGCCATTTAGAATAACGTCAATAGTTATGCTTTGAACAAAGTTTCTACTGCTAAGACTGCGAGCAAATGCTGTTCCCATACCTGGACAGTTTTGCAAATCCTGACTTATGTTCATATTATTTTTTACAGTCTTTCCTTTCTAAACTATCTTCCAGTCTTCTTGTCTTACTTTGTTGGGTTCTTCACTGGACCAGTTTGTTGTGGTTCTCGATACTCGCAACTCAATGCAAGCCCCTTTGGTTTTGGAAGAAACCTCGGAAGGCTTTGTTATTACAATTACAAACTGCTTTTTCTTCTGAGATCAAAACAAATTTGACGACAGCTGACAAAAAGAAAATCTTCTATAAGGTGTTATTAAATTGTATTTTCCAGTGACCAGTCGGAGTTGTTCAAAGACTTCAATAACCCTTTATTTAAAAGATAAATAGATCTTCCATGAAAGGTATAAATAAAAGTTTTAATTAGACATGAGCAAACATACATTAATATAAAGTCAAGCCACCTGACTCCATATCAGATCATTCAGGTTATAAGAGTAAAGAGTGTAAAGAAGATGGTAGGATTTTGAAGCAAACATTAAATGAATGAGAGCTATAATATGTTTTATCATTATCTTAGCATAAAAGATTCCTTAAAAACTGATAACACGCGTTGCGAATATCTGTTAATATTTAATAATAAATAATAATATTAAATGTAAATATTTAAATATTGTTTT